AACTCACGACCTTGTGCTTGCCAGGCAGATTGTTTCCAATTTTTATCCATATCTGTTATGGTTGACACATTATGTCAACTTGAAGTTTAGAAGCTTAACTGAATAGCTCAGCAGTTCTACATCATGCAGTATAAAGGACTTGTCCTTACCACTCTAGGATGTTGTTCATTGTGTTAACTTGAGAAGTTTAGAAGTTTCACTCAGCAGGGGCCAGGATCCTTACTTGTAAACATCCTCATCCTGTGTAAGAGGAGGGTGTGGAGGTGGGGTGAGTGCTACACCTCCCGGGCAGGGGTAGCCTGCTTATAATATAAGGGGGGAAAAGAGGCTTGTTCTCCCCACACTCCTTTTGCTCTTGTTGCTTTTGCTGTCTTCTGCTGCCCTTAACTGTTGTGCCTATGCCATGCCACACGGCCTTCGAGCCAGATGATTATGGACTGAAACCTCCATAAACCATGAGCTAAGTAAACCTTTCCTTCCTTAATTTTGGGCATCAGATACTCTGTCTCAGCAACAAGAAAAAAGTAACCAAGACAATGACCCTTAAGTTTTCACTGAATTTTTTACTTTTTGGGTGTTTTGCAATTTAGTCATAATTTTAGGTAGGAATTAAGTCCTTTTCTTTTACTTCCTTCCATTCACTAAAATCTAGTTCACTTCTTCCCTTTTATGTCTACTTCCTGTAATTTTTTACTTTTTTAATTTTATAGTCAAAGTTTTTTTTATATTTATATGTATGTCAGTCTTCTAGAAGTCAAAGCTTTAGGTTTCACTGACAACAGAAAAACCAACTTAAAGATATAGCTATTGTTATTCATGGCAAACTGGGGGACCCTAAATCTTATAATTATTCAGCCTAAAGCCTTTGGAAAAATCTAGACAGTTCATGGTAACCAAGGATGATATCAGAGCCTTAAAAGGAAAAGTAACAAAGCTCAAATCAAAAATATACATTCAAGATATTGTTGTGTAATTAGATGTTATTGCTAATAAATTTGAAGAAAGTAAATGAACATCAGGCAAAAGCTTCAAGTGGAATGGCTATTCCAAAGACTGGTGACATAAACAATATAGTTGTATACATAATAAATACTGCATGGAATGTTGAAGAGGGCAGCACTCTCGGAGGTGCCTATGGTCTGCTTTATATTCAGTTGTGTTTGGGGTTCAACAAATATCAGGGTTTAGATCTGGTATGTCCTCCAGAAGCCTCATGTGTTCAAAGGTTGGGGTTGCAGAAGGAGACTGGATCGTGGAGTTGTTACACTCACAGTTCCATAGCTGAATGTGCAGTTAGACAGTAGGACCTGGGCCAAAGAGCTGAGTCCCTGAGAACATGACCTGGAAGGGTGTATCTCACCCCTGGCTCCTCCCATCACTCTGTTTCTTTTGCCCGACCCTTCCACTATGTCCTTCTCACCTTAGAGCCAGCCAACTATGGACTGAATCTTCTAAAAGCCATGAGCTAAAATCAACTACTCTGCCTTTAAGTTTTAGGTGTTGGGTATTTTGTCCCAGAAATAAGAACGTGACTAAAACATTATGCTTTTTGGGTCTCTGGCTTTATAGTTTTCATTTAATTGGAAAGTTTTTCCTTTTTTTTTTTTTTTAAAGAGCAGAATGTATTTATTGGGGGAAAGAAAGCTTCTGTCTGAAAGAGAGACAGAAGGGGACCAGTTGCCAAGGACCCTGCCTTTCCTGGGGGTCTTACAGAGCAAAACCACGAGGTAAGGTGGGTCCAAGGTGGTGAAAAAGTAGGAAATTGCAAGATGGGCCCGAGGTGGGACAAAACTATGGTCAACCAGTAAGATTATAAGCATAATTGCTCAGGTAATATTGATTAAATCTGGATCAAACAGGGAAGTGAGCCACGCAGCAAGTGGATATGAATACAGAACAGAGGCCCCTCCCACAGGGGGCTGGGTCAGTGACCCTTCCCAGCTCTTTCAAGGTGATCAACACCCACCTAGAATATCAATCCCTGATGTCCATCCCCAGGGAGGTATGTGGATGCACCCGTTTAATCTTCTGTTTTGAGGTCTGGCCCACAGCGGAAGTGCCTACCTCTCCCACAATCGCAAGGCATCTCACCCTGCACACTGGCTCCCTGGAAGGCCCCGCCCTGTCTGACTGCCCACAGCACTTCCACCTAACTCAGCTGCTCACAACATTCCCCCCTCTGAACAAGTAAGCTGAACTGCTGCAAGGGAACAGTGGCAATGACTGTTCCAGCCTCTTCAGGCCAAAAGGGGTCATAATAGTTGATCGCAGATGTTCTGTCCTAAGGCCCTCGATAGACGCTAGGCATTTTCATCCTGCGTAGGCATATAGCTTCAAGTCTTGGTCCAACGATCTTGGTGGAAGACCTCCAAATGATATAGGGGAAAGAAACTCCCAACCTGAAAGATACCTGGGATGAGTTCGTGTTCTCTAAAATCGGAGAATGAATTTTAGGAACAACAGAGGGTAAGGGCAGAACATATTTACTGGGGGAAAGACAGCGTCTGTCTGAGAGAGAGACAGAAGGGGACCTGAGTGGGTTGCCCAAATATTTCTTAAAATATTT